TTCCTGGGAGAAGCTGCCTGCTCTGCCCCTATCTTCTCTATCTCTGCAAATGGCACTGCCATCTCCCAGGAGGGCATACCAAAAGGCATGGGGTCTTCACTTCTAGCAGCACCTGCCTTGCCCCGAGCCAAGGCAGGTCCTGGAGATACACCTAGAACTGGGCCACTTCTCACCATGGCAACCCTAGCCCACCTTAGGAGGTTTCAAGCTGAGGATAAGCCCCATCTGCCTGGGCCTTTCCAGGCTGTGCACTACCCCTCCACAAGCACACAGATCCTGCCAAGATGTTAGTTCCTTGCGGAAGGAGAGGATGGAAAGTAACTTTCAAGGCTGTCGAGGGGAGCATATATACATCCTACATCAATACCTCATCAAAGCAACAAAAGCTCAGACCAAATAGTGAACCTCATTTCCCTGTCCTTTCCCTGAACAACTTGCTGCCTTGAGCAGCCCGTTTCTCTCAGGAGCTCCACTTGCTTCCAGGCTACAGAGCTCATTATGCATCTGAAACTCCTTTTCCCTCAGCCTTTCCCTCTCAGGTTGTATTTTACTGCCTTGGACTAACAGCCTCTGCTGGCCTGGGGGAGCAGTGAGAGTACTCATTCATTCAAGGCCTGTGTGCTGCCTCACCACCTGAACCGCTAGGTGACTTCATCTACAGCACTCAGAATAAAGTACACCCCACATATGCAACTACAAGACTGTGTGGAGCCTAAGAAAGGCATGTAAAACTGGCAGATGGAGAGCAGTCTACAGTTACTCCTTCATACTATGGCAAGTTAGATGCTTTGCTTTTGTTGTTCACATGAATACACAAAAACTGAAATTACAATAACTTTTGCCACTTAAAAGGTCTTGGTTTTTAAGACTATATTCCAATGAAAGAGATGAGTATTCTTGGAAGAGACAACTGATTTTAGGTCTGAGACAGGAACTATGTAAGATAGGTGAAAACCTCTTACAGTGTCAAGTAAACAAGTGCCTTCAAACAAACAAACAAAAAACAACACCCAGAATGATAAAGCATGTCAAAGAGAAAAGCAGCCAACTGAAAGACCTGCCAATTGCTAAAGCGAAACCACTCAGGCAATAAAATAACCTGGTACGGGATTGCACCCCAAAAGAATAAAATAAATAGCCCTGAGTCCACATTGCTATAAATGACTAAATAAATAAATGGGGAGGGAAGACAAATGAGCTGTAGAGTAAGTATCCAAATAATCTATGCAGTTACCCCTCCCTCAAAGAGGTGAAGCATTATTACAACTCCTGCTCACTCCTGGGGAGACTGCACAGAGTGATTCCTCCCAAAAAACACAGTGCGGAAAGCCGAGCGTGAGACAAACCCACCTTGGCCAGAGATCAAGTCAAGGGGACAGCACGTCCCCATGATGAGGTTACGATGAGGATGGGTCCCCTTTGTGGTCACCTCCTCCAAGCTCACAACCCCAGTACAGTGATGTTAAAAAACATGAGCCTCTGGGCCTTTCAGGAATCTGAAGGTCACAGGCTTGGTGCTGCCAGACTGAACCATGAGAAGGGAGAAGACCTCAGATACAGGTGCCTGGGTCTCTGGTGACCAACATAAAGTGGAATGACAGGGCAGTGCCAAGAGTGGAGAGGACAGCACACTCCCAGGTGCAAGGAGGAGGCTGCAAGCCCACTCCATCTTGAGGCCTCTGGCTGTCCTGGGGGAACCAGCTGTTCTGACAGCAGGAGTAGGGAGGCAGCAAGAGGACAGGAGGGTCTGGATGCGGAAGTGCAGGCTTAGGCAGGAGGGTAGAGGAACACACAGACTTCCAGGGTGCTGGGCATAGCCACATTCCTCACCTTGGATGGCCATAAAACACCTCCCTGTCCAACCTCCTGTAGGAACAGAGTGGCCAACAGAAAGTGAGATGGGAACTAGGAAAGGCAGGACAGGAGCCAGTGCAGGTCATCACCTTCAGGGCAGGACTCCTGGGCCACACGAGTGACAAGATGTAAAGCCATAGGGATGCTGACAGTCTGCTTGAAGGATGCAAGCTAGGAGGCGGAATGGACACAGAGCGACCTGTCCTGCCTGTTGACAGGGGGGTCTGGCTACCCTGGCACCCACATCCGTCAGGAGAGCAGGGCAAGCGGAAGGATGAAGCAAAGACGATGTCTGATCCATCAAGAGTGGGCCCCATAGCTCCACATCTGGCCCGGTCCGTACACACAGCCTGCTTAGAGAAATGGCTATTTCTGACCACGGCCTCACAAGACTGAAAGTGAGAATCAGTAAGCCGAACTGGCTTCCTGTCCCCAGAAGAGAACCTGTGTGGCCGGGCACAAAACAGAGTCAAATAGATGGAGATAAGGAAACACAAATTCAGGGTAATGCAACCTTGGAGAAGGTGGGAGGAATATGTAGTTTCAATTGTACTTGTAACAAAATATCTCAAGCTATATTATTCTTATCATTTTCCATATAAAGTTGGCCTAGTAAACATTTTATCACTCTAAGATAAATCAAGGCACAAAGGACAGCTTCCCTCCTCCAGGAATTTGGCAAAGCCCAACTGACTAGGGGAGTCGAATGCCTAGAAATCTCTCCCAGTGCAAGGCTGCCTGCACTTGAAGGATGCAAGCCACACTGGACCACGTGAAGCTAACAAGTACATAAACCTCTTCCCGAAGCTTCGTGTAAGTAGCACCATTTTATAAGCACTGGGCCACCGAACCATTACACCTATAATCACTTCAACCTTAAGTCACTGCAGCTCTCTGAAGGAACCAGCACCCTCAGAGGTCACAGGATGATCTGGGGGCTGCTGGTGGTCAGAAGAGATGAAGTGAGGCCACAGGAAACTCCAGATGTGAGGAGGGATGCATTTGTATGTGCCAAGTGCCCGAGCTGGCACAGGGACAGCAGATGCTGACAGGCTCTGAGGAAAGCACACAGTTTCTTTCTCTCCAGGTCATTTTCAGAGTTTGACAACCCCACACCCCACTCAGATGTCACACCAGGCCCACAGTGGCCCCCCTCCTGCTCTCTTTCTGACTTTCTGTGGGGCCAGAGGTCACATTGAGGGACACTCAGTGACACCCTGGATTGGGGGATAGACATGCTAAGTGCAGGGAAGTACCACAGGTGCTCTGGTTGACTTCTGCTCTGTCAGGACGTCACTCCAAGGAGAACTGGCATGGAAAGATTGCTCGCAGTGAACTGGCAGCACACCTGTGCCACTTAGGGTCAGCCCCCAGGCACTTCTGTACCCTCGGGGCCTCCTTTTCTTCCCCTGCATAATGGGAATGGGCTGCTGCTTGGTAGCGGGCAGGGAGCCCCTGACTAGCATGCGACGGTGACAGTGGGTGCTGGTGGCACCACTCTGCCCTCCTGGTTTGGAAGGCTGGAGGAGTGCGGTGGTCCCCAACAGCCTGCTCACAGGTAAGGCGCAGGGTAAGAGCGGTATAGACTGGCAGCAGCCAGCAAATAACAAGGCGGGCTGGCTGAAGAGTCAAAGAGCCAGCACTCTGGAGGCCTGGGGTGGGGGGGACACCTTCTGCCTGGTCAGGGCTGCTGGCTGGACACAAGAGGACATGTGTGCAAATGCACTGGAGTGCGCTGGTTGCCTTAGTCATTTGCTCCTTTGTGCTGAGATCCAACAACAAACACCTGAGACCACAGGAGAAAGAAGAGACCCAAAGGACAGCAAACCCAGGCTCAGCTTGGGGCTTATAGTGCAGGGAAACCGCAGTCTGCAGGGATATTCCTAATAAGGTAAAATGACACCACAGTCCTTTCTCTAGCAAGAATCATTATAACGATGCCTGGGGCACAACTGACAGGGCACCTGATAAAAATCTACACAAGTCACTCCACCTCTCTCTAAGATGATGGCCCCATCAGGTAGCCTAGGATTAATACACAGATCCCTGACAAACCCCAGCCCAAGGCCTAGCACCTGTCAGAGGCCCCTCTATAGAGCCATCTCTCGGAGTAATCTCCCATGTGCCAAAGCAGTAACCCTGCAGAAACAGAGGGAAAGGCTTTAGGTCTCAGCTGAGGCCGTGAGCAGCAGCTAGGGTACACCACACCAGTACTTCTGGAGGGACAGAGTGGGGCAGTGATCAAGAGCAGCACTTCCTGGAGACTGCTCTCTGTCCCAGGGGGCTGCCTAGAGACAGCTTCTTGAGAAAACAGCACCCCAAGAAAGGCTAATGAGACACATACTGGGGGTGCAAGGGCCAGTTTTAGAAACATGCATAACCCATAGGACAGCTGGCACAGGTACCCTAGCTGGGGCCCTAGGGCAGGGGCCAGCCCAGGTTGGATGCACCAGGTTCCCGAGATGAGATCATCATAGGAACCAACTTAATCCAAGTCGGCCACCTAGGAACCAAGCAGACTGCTGGGCTGGGTTTTCCTTGGAAGTCACTGCCCTCTCCAGCTTCTCTGAAGCTGTTGCACATATCAGACAGTTATTAGGACCCCCTAGTGACAGCGGTCAGTTTCCCGCCATTTGGTCACACTTTCTATGTCACAAACACTGTGGGCTACATGCTATAGTAGAGATCTGTGCTTCCTGACACCCATGAGAAGACCCTGAAGCAGGGTCACAACTCTGGTTCCCAGGCTGGGACAAGCTGGTTCCAGTGATCCCATGTACAGACACCCCAATCCCATGTACAGATGCCCCGAGTGGACTACACCCTTACCTGTGAAGGCCCCATACCTAGAACTGGCCTGTACCTATGGCCCGAGGACTCACAGAAGTGAAGTGTTGTACCTGGGACATCCATGAGGCTCACAGAAACCCCTATCTGGAGCGCAGCAGATCTCATCAGCACCACCCTGCCAGACCCAGGACCCCTCCCCAAGCTCCTACAATCAGTGAGCAGTGAGAAGGCAGCCTGGTTTTGGTCAGGTGAGACCAATGAGCTAAGGTTCAGGAACAGGCAGGACAGAATGGGACTGCTGCACCCTCCTCCTTGGTCCCATCCCACCATCCACCCTTACCCACCTGACTGCCTACCTGCATGACCTCCGCTCCCCAACTGAGGCTGGTGCCCTCTTCTCAGCCACACTGGTAACCATCAAAGGACCACAGAGGCCACCACGGTTTGCTGCAAGGAAGGTAGGGAAATGCAGTCTTACCCACCCAGGAGGCATAGCCACCTAGCTCTGCCTAGGAACTAGGTGTGGTCTGCCCTTCCCTGCCAGGGCGCTAACTGGAAAGCAGCTCTGTGGGATCTGAAGAGAACAGGGCAAGGCTACTGCACTGGCTCAGCCTCTCCTGTCCTGGACTCCTTTGAGCTCCTGACACAGGCTGGTCCTGGAATGCCATACAACTGTCAAGGAACAGAAGGTTGTTATCAAAGCTCCCTGTATGCAGAAGGTCAGTCCCTGATCTCCAACAAGGAAGAGTCCTCCTTCCAAGGCCACCACCCTACTGAAGCTGAGGCCTTTGATCAGTTCAACCTGTAAGCCAGAGGCTATGATCCGAGAGGGAATGAAAGAGGGAGAGGGAGGCTACCAAGGCTTAAACACAGTGTGGCTGAGGCAGAGAAAGGAAACACCTGCAAATTAAAATGTCTAGCTTTAAACACATCCCTCTCAGACAGCAGGATCCAAAATAGCATCTTCTATTTTAGGAAATTCAAACTCAGCTCCCACTACACAGACTCCAGGTTTGGAGATCAGGGCTGCACAGTAGCAGAAGTTATGGGGCGCAAGGACTATAGGTGGCAACCAACCCAACTCCCACCCCAACCCTATTCTGAAGATCAGGACGCTGAGGCTCTCAGAGGTAATGAGGCCACTCACAGCCTGACTTCAAAGTCATCCTCTCCGTTTCTCATCCCTGCCCTGCAGCTCACCTCCCACTCAGGAGGCCTGAGCCTGTCCTCCCTCTTGCAATCATGGTCTCCTGGCCTAGAGGGAACGGCATAGCCCAGCGTGGGATGCAGGGAGAACCCTCCTCAAGCTCCCTGAGCTCCTGACCTCTGGGCTGAACAAGGACAGCCACGCCTGGGGGCCTAAATCTCTCGAGGTCTCACACTCTTACAGAGAAGTTGGTCCCCACAAGGCCAATGCTGACAGGTCCCAGCGATATCAGGCAGGAGAGAGATGATCACAGCCAAACAGGTCTAGACGGGAAATGGAGAACTTGGTCAACCCCCTGCCATCAGGCTAGTCTAGGAACAGGGTGTCTGAGACCTCAAAGAAAGCAGTTGTGAAGCTACTCCTGGTGCAGTCACCTGCTGTGTCCTGGATCTACAGGTAGTGGCTTCCCCAATCTAGGCAAAAACTTCAGGCTGGCCACCAGAACTGCTCAGGACAAAGGGCCAAGAGTGTGCCTGAAGCGGGCAGTGTGGCCTCCCCTAGCATCAGAATTAGGAGCACAGCCTCTGCAGCCAGGTCACGAAGGCTCCAATGCTGCATTGCCACACAACCAAGTTACACCCAGCCTTTAACCTGAGGCTCCTGGGTCTCCCGTCTGTGCTGTGGGCACCCAGAAGCATCTCTCTCATTAAGTGGCTATAAAAGCTATAAGTTTAATCTCTGTAAACGTACCCTGCACACAAGAATGTTAGGTAGGTTTCCGCTGCTATTGGTACTGACACTAGAGCTAAGTCGATCTGACAGTCTCAAGACGGTATAGGCTCTTCTAACAGAAAAAGAAACTCTAGAAACACTCAGGCCAACAGGTCAGCCAGGAAGGGGCTGTAAGTAACCAGGGAACAGGGATAATTTACAGCAGGAAAGAGGCCTGGATGACAGCCAATTATCTATTAAAAGCACAAACTAGGCCTCCTGTCCTCCTGAGCCAGGAAGAGAGGGGTTGGAGGGCCCTTTGAGCATTTCTAAATTGCCTGCTTTGGTCTCCCAGAGTGCTGGGATTACCACCCGGGCCCAAAAAGGGGTACAGCATAGAGTTTTAAAGGGCTCTCTTGACAAGTAAACCTGAGGTCACCAGGCTGCCCTTCTGGCCGATCAACCTGCCCAGCACCCTGTGCACCACACCCGTAGGCTGTTTCTGAAGGACAGGAGGCTCAGGGCTTAGGCGTGCCCTCCGCCTGCAGTACCCAGCCTGTTCTCATCTGCTTGCCCTTTCCCTGTTGTGAGGCCAATCTTGGCTGTTAGCCTGATCGCAGATTAGCAAAGCCACTCTCTGGGTGTGCTGTGATGGTGTTTCCAGACACAATTGACCTGCAGGACAGCAACTTGAGTGGGGTGATCATCCTGAATGTGGGAGGCACCGTCCAGCAGAGTGGGAACCCAGATGAAGCAAATCAGGGGGACGCTGCCTACATGGGCCCTCCAGCTGCCTCTCTGCTCTGGTTACCACGAGGTGAGGGTGGCTTAACAGCACAGCTGACCCAACAAAAATGCTTCCTCCTTCAAGCTGCTTTTCTCAGGTATTCTGTCACAGTGAGGAACGCTAATGCAGACTTCATGACCAATTTCAACAGCAATTCATCAGTGACTCGTTCCCTTTCATCCACATGGGAATAAACTCCCTCTGTTCTTTGCGACACAGTTGCCTTTGTGGCCCTAAGGGAAAAAATCCTTTTAATTCCTTATAAATCTTTGTCTCCTGGCTCCTAAGCAGAAGGGATTAAACCATCGTCCATGTGAATACATGGGCTCTGGGCACAAAGCCGGGCCATTAAAGGAGACCCAAACGAGCTGCTACTGAGTGAGACAAAGAAGCATGAAAACCAGTGCGGTAGGTATCCCCACTACCCCAGAAGGGTTTGGTGTAGGAGCTAAGCTATTTTACAGGAGCTTTTTACAATAATATTGACTGCTTAAAAAAGGGAGAGCGAGAGAAGGAGCTAGGCGTATAAAATCATGAACCTGGCCTTCCTGCATCTCCCTTAGGCTGAAGGGAGGGTGAGGGGTGCAGAGGTTGCAGGCAGCTGTTTGGAGGGTCTGTTGCCTCCCACTGTCTCAGGATAAGTGAGCTGGTCCCAGCTTGTTCTGGGTCTCATTTGTCATGGCCTGGCAGGAGTCCCTGGACAGGTCACAATGTGAGGATGCCTGCAGGGTGAAGGGCTTGCCTCCTACAGGGCTCCTCAGATCTCCTCAGAGCCCAGAGGACACCTACAGCTAAGGTATTTCTACCACCAACAACCTCTAACCAGAAATGCTTCAAGACATCCTGCTATGTGAGTCAAGGCTTCGAGACAGCCTCACCAGGCGCACCACAGACACCAAAGCCCTCATCACAGGCACCCCGCTGCCCACCCCGCCCCTTCTGGGGATCCCTCCCACATGGCACCCAGAGGAAAGGAGGCTCAGCCTGGCCCCAGATCCAGCTCTGGCACTAGCTGAAGCCAGGAAGGTGGACAAGTCCTCAGTTCCTGCTTCCAAAACAGGAGGAGCTCCAGCCCTACCGTCACTTCCCCCTGCCTTCAGTTGCTCTGGCTGAGGACTTCTGAATTCGCAGGACCCTCCACCAACCAGCATGAGCCTGGACTGCAGGGGGTGACACAACGTACTCTTGGGCCTCTCCTCAGGGAGGTGTCATCTAGAGACAGAGCAGCCCATGAAGACAAGCTGTCCAAGGGGGATACGTCTTCAGCTGACATGGCCGGAGCAGCATGATGCCTTGGACTTGTGCCAACTCACCTCTTCCTGCAGGCGCAGGCCCTCCCCCTGGACTCCATTTCCACCTTCCCCACAGACCCCTGAGAGCAGGCCCACCGCTGGTGCCAAGGATCTGTCACTTCAGTCCTGCAGGGGCCTCTGAACAAGGTCAACAATATTGTGGGAGGCTTGACATTTATGGGACACTCAATAAATAAGGGAAAAGAAGGCCTGCAAGGCAACAGGGTCAGCGCACACGCTCCTGCATCCACTTAGCAGACGTTCCAGGTCCTGTTGCAGGGTCACTCACCTTCACCCCTCAGCATACAAGACACACAGACGGTTTCACACAATATTCTGCACACATACAGGTACCACAGAAACCGCAGGTGTAACTTCAAGCACACACTACCACCTGTTATCTATTTTAATTCTGCACTTCTCCAACAGCTTGGTGATACTGCCATGTTCTAAAATGAAAAAAACAAAAAATTCTGAAAGCCAAAAAAAATTCAACCCTATAGGATCAGCCATTCTTTTCCCCAACACAGAACAAATAATAATAACAATAATAGTAATAATAATAAGGAACTGGTATTTCCCAAAGAATTCAGGTTGGGCCATCATTCATTGTAGCTGTCCACAGTGAAGCCACAGTGAGCCATAATGAGGCACACACACACGTGCATGCACACACTCACACACAGTCACAAACAGGCAGGTCCATGAAAACTATTTTAGTGTGACCACAAATCAAAAGAGCTTGGTCCAGGCTGTCCTGATTCTGCAGCTACAGGTCAGTAAAGTTGTGGCAAAAATACAACTGCATGAAAATCTACTCAAAGAAGGCAGTGAACGAAAGAAACATCACTGAGCCACAGCTGACCCAAGGTAGCCCAAAAAGTGATCGTCCAACTGGCCACCTCTCCTTCCTCTGATCCTGGTGCCAGAGCCCTACCCAGCAAAGCTCCCTACAAGGGGCTCAAGAGCAGTGGGCCTTGCCTCCTGGTGCAGGGCAAGAGGCTACTCAGGATGCGGACCATACCCTCCACTCATCTAGGCTAGAGCACGCAGGCAGATCTCCCTCCACACAACAGGGGCTTGGTGCCATTCAAGCCTCCAGCTGGGGAGGCACCAGATGACAGAGCTGCTCCTGCACTGGGTATCTTCAACCCCAGCTCCTTCCAGTGCACCACGCAGGCCAGATCTCCACTTCTCAAAGGGCACATCTCAGTAAGTAGAAAAAAGGAAAAGAAAGAAAAAAGGAGAAATCTGGGCAGGCCTTAAAGAAGCCATCAGTCCCTGTAAGGGTCAGTGAATTACCTAACAGCCTCGGCTTCAATGCTTGAGAGGAACATGCACTTCAAGTCCAAGTGCAGTCTGCCAAAGCTGCTGAACCACCGCTGAAAACAAAAATCAAACAAAGGCCTGAGTGCAAAGGCTTCAGGTTCAATCCACATGGCAAGGGAGAGGTTATAAGTCCTAAACTCTTAATGAAAAATGAAGCAACTGTTACTCCCAAGGAGAAAGT